CTTTTATCACTTTCATGCTAATAATCATATTATTTTTAATATAATTAACTTATCCAAATATAAATAACGTGGAAACAGTTTTAATTCGGTTTTTAAAACTTCTTAGTTTTGTTTTATTTTACTTATATAGTTTTTGTGATTGATAAAAATAATTATAGAAAAATACCTCTTGGGATCTCGAAGCCTATTCTCTTTTTAAGAAGACATAGACCCCCAATTCAGAGTGGAAAAAAGCTTAGAAGATTTTAAATTGACGATAAACATAATCAAATGAATAGCGGGAGGGATAATATTTGTATAAATTAATTTTCACAATTTTGCATTCAAGCGATTCTATTTTCAGGATAATTATTCAGAATTTAATTTAATTTTTATATCTTCAGCGACAAATTAAATCACTAACTATGATCTCAATGTTATTTTCCAAAGCCAATTTGCTTACGGTAATCCTCCACTCTTCATCCACTCCATCGGCGTGCTTGACAAAGTTTAATTTCTCTCTCTAAGTGAGTGAATTTTTGTTTGAAGCACTGGAAGTCTTCTGTTAAATATCTTGTAAACTATTCCAAGGCTAAGAAGTAACTTCGCATTTGCCAATTCAGTTTTCAATGCATGTGCAGTTACGACAGCCTTACTTATGGGAAGGAACTGGTTCTCCGCAGAGCTCTTCCTGGTTTCATCTCAGCGACCGGAATTACATTTTCCACAAGCTGCAGGTGAAACATAAAATACGCCTTAGCAGCTTATTAAAAAATGTGAGACATTCATGCTACTAACTTTCTTCTGAATCTTATTTAGCTGAATAGTTATTCAACCTTTCAAACCAAAACAGACTAAAATAATAATGCCATCATTTGGAATATTTTTTAGTGCAACGGATAACTTCAATGTAAATAGTATTAAAACTATTAAGTGAATAATATAAAACCAAAATTAGTTGATAAAAATTGCTGTGATCCTAAATTTAAATATAAGGCAAAAATTATGTTATCGCAAAATCCAAATAAAACTAATAAAACATCCTTGACATTTATTAGAAAATAAATTAATTATAATATGTAACTTGTAAAGTAATGAATGCAAATTATTGCCTTATTATATAAACAATTAATTTATTATCTTTAACTAACGACAGAATTAACTGGAAAAATTAACTGTCCTAATTATTACTTGACATAATAATATTAATTTTTGATTGATTAACTAATTATCTAAAATATAACTATTAGCAATTTATGATAAATAATCTCAAACTCCTAGTTAATATTTTTTTATTTTGTTCTACTTAACTGCATTATTTTATTGATAAATAATAAATTAATTAGAATAGTTAAATAGGATAATTCAATATCTCCAAACAAAATCTCATTGAAATTACAATTTAATTAGTATAATTAGATTATCGTTTTGTGTTTATTATTAATCAAAATTGGAATAATTATTTCTTAGTTTGCCAAACAAATCTTTTAATGAAGCAATTTACAATTGATTAATTCAATTTACTATCCAAATTTCAATTAATATTGATGTGTTAACAAAATTTAAACTAAGCTATTATGCCATGTTATCCCAAGCATTAATATTGTCATAAAAAGTTGAAAAGCTTTAATATTTTTTTATTTATCTCTTAGAATGCCAAACAGATCAAGCAAGCATTCTAAGATTAATTTTCTACTTTTTTTGGGTCAGACATACTAATTATCTTTTTTTTCAATTTGCAGGAAATAAATCGGATTTTGTCACATATTCATGCCTGTATTAAAGATTTTTCTATTCAAAATTACAAATTTTCTTTCAAAATTTATAATTTTAAGAAAAGAAACTAAAATAATATTGTTGATAAAATATAAAGTGGCGTCGGAATTTTACCTTTTTAAACCTCCATTTTAGATGTTTTTCCTGCAGCAAAGAGAAAATTACTTTACAATAAATAAACAATTAATTTATTATCTTTAACTAACAACAGAATTAACTGGAAAAATTATGTATCCTAATTATTACACGACATAATAATATTAATTTTTGATTGATTAACTAATTATCTAAAATATAACTATTAGCAATTTATGATAAATAATCTCAAACTCCTAGTTAATATTTTTTTATTTTGTTCTACTTAACTGCATTATTTTATTGATAAATAATAAATTAATTAGAATAGTTAAATAGGATAATTCAATATCTCCAAACAAAATCTCATTGAAATTACAATTTAATGAGTATAATTAGATTATCGTTTTGTGTTTATTATTAATCAAAATTGGAATAATTATTTCTTAATTTGCCAAACAAATCTTTTAATGATGCAATTTCCAATTGATTAATTCAATTTACTATCCAAATTTCAATTAATATTGATGTGTTAACAAAATTTAAACTAAGCTATTATGCCATGTTATCCCAAGCATTAATATTGTCATAAAAAGTTGAAAAGCTTTAATATTTTTTTATTTATCTCTTAGAATGCCAAACAGATCAAGCAAGCATTCTAAGATTAATTTTCTACTTTTTTTGGGTCAGACATACTAATTATCTTTTTTTTCAATTTGCAGGAAATAAATCGGATTTTGTCACATATTCATGCCTGTATTAAAGATTTTTCTATTCAAAATTACAAATTTTCTTTCAAAATTTATAATTTTAAGAAAAGAAACTAAAATAATATTGTTGATAAAATATAAAGTGGCGTCGGAATTTTACCTTTTTAAACCTCCATTTTAGATGTTTTTCCTGCAGCAAAGAGAAAATTACTTTACAATAAGATTCTATTCAGTACAATAGCTTGAATGAATAAATATTAAAAACAGATTTAAAATCTTATAAGATTTTTCTAACTTTGGTTTTAATACTTTAAAATTTCAATTGCTGCCAGGTTGAAGGCCATGCAAAAAAGCTGAGCATGTTTTACTTATATTAACATCATATTTATTTATTTTTCTACTATATAAATTATCAAAAATCCATATGAACATCTTAATATATGTTTTTATTATCGAGAAACTGTTCTTCTTCTCCAAATAATGATTGTCATAATGCTGCTGTCAATTTATTTATGCTTTAGAGTTGCTTAATTGTTTCTATTTCATGTCATAATATTCCAAGAATGCAGATTTTGAAATTAAACTTTTTTTCTATGTATAGAAATCAAAGGAAACATTTTTTTTTTTCGTATTCGAACATTTACTTGACTAGAGAAAGAGAGAGAGAGAGAGAGAGAGGTACCCGTTCTTTGAGAAGTATGGCGTTTTCTTCCTCCAACTTGAAGACCGTCTGCTCCAGTTGATTCGTGTATTGCTGTTACAGAGCGCGACAATTTCCATAAATTAATTATCTCAAAGCCAATTCCAAAAATCTATACGAATAAAATAAAAGAAAATAAACAAAATGGCTACGCACCTGCTTTCTTTCCCTCGACCTAGCTGCCGATTCCCTGTTCTTAATCATCCTCTTCTGCCTCTGCAATGCCGCTTTATCAGCAGAATCAACGGCAACTCTCTTCCTCCCCTTCCCTCTCTCTCCTCCTCCCGCCGCAGCACCATCTCCCATCCCCGCCATCTGATCATTACCCGTTTCCTCCAAATCATCTTGCCCAATTCGCTCGCTCACCACCGCCGCCGCCGCCGTATTCAGATCATCTGCACTCACCACTCTAGCTTTGGTCAAGTAATCCTCCAAAGTCACTTCCCTGAACCCCGATCCGTCCCTGGAGGACCCCTTTGCCCCCCGTGAAACTTCCGTACATGGACCGGTCACCTCTCCTTCGTAGAGCTTTCGAAGGAGATGATCCTCCATACCAGCCAATCGGAAGCCGTTGTTGGCCGGCGGTTCAGTAGCTGCATTGAGGAAGTAAATTGATGGTTTCAACGTGTGATCCGCATTCGCCGAAGACGGGAAAGAAGAGGACATGAACTGCGGCCAGGCCATCGTCGTGATCAGAGCAAGAGCAATATATCTTGCAAGGAGAAATTGGGAGCGTGGAGAGTTGAGAACAGTGCCAGACTGCCAAGTGGTATGATTTCCGTTCCTTTTATGGATGGTCCGAGGACGGGCTTACTGTTGCCCGCCGGTTTCGGTTTGACCCGGTTTTTTTAATTTTTTTTTAAATATTTTTTATTTTCTTACGTATTCTCCCCGGAGGGTGATATCGATTTGTAGAATTATAATATTTAATAGTAAATAATAAAATTCTTCATTGGGCCTTACTCCTTTTCTGAATCGGAGCCGAGAAAGTGGCGGGTCACCTGAAAGCGAGGGCGTTCGACGGAGAGCTTTGGCAGCTTCCCAGCGGGCTCTACGTTTGGCACGTGGCGAGAGGAGGTGAAAATACCATGTGTCGTGTGGTAGAGAAATGTGACGATGAGTAATGCCGTTTGCTCGTCGGCCGCGGCCTGCAGGTCTATAGTTTGACTTTGTTCAGTTACAAATTATAATATGCATAATTTGTTATCTGGCCGACCTTCTCTGACTGTTATCAAAATTGTTTCATATTTGTTTAGTTACAAGTTAAAAGTTCAAATTGCAATTACATATTAAATGAAAAAAATTGTGAGATTTTTAAGAATTGAATTTATATAAAGATTTTATACTTTAATTTTTTTTAAAAAAATATGATTATTATTTAATAATTAGAAATTGATATCATTTATTATAATACTGTTTGAAAATTTTATAAAGATCAAAATTAGATCAGATTATCTCAATTCGAACTTGATTTAGAGCTTGACCGACGGAGTTCAAAATTAGATCAGATTCGGACTGCACTATTAGGCATAGTCCGAAGGAGATGACAAGCAAACACTGCAAGTGAGACGGAGTTTAGCGGCCTGCACTATTAGGCATACAGTCCGAAGGAGATGACAAGCAAACACTGCAAGTGACTGATAATTTATTTTAAGAAAAAAAATTATAGTGAGGGAAGTAAAAATACTTATGAGTGCCTCATTTGTGACTTTTCTTAGTACTGGAATTTAACGATTTTCCAGTTTAACTGTTATACTATTATATTCAGTAATTTATCATATTACTGGTGAATATTTATTTTTTATCTGTGTTATTATTAAATTTTGATACAAAATTATCCATGCTTGACCATCGATGTTTATGAAAGAACTTCTAAAATTTTACAAGATTGAAAGGGAAGTTATTTAATATTTAAATCTTACATTTTATTTAGAAATTTAGACCCTATATTGCACATTATATAATTATACAAAAGCCTAAAAGAGAGTGAGGATTTATGTCGTACCAGATGAACAAACTCGAAATCATTAAAAGTTAGGTCTTATTAATCAATATCATATGAGACAACATAGATGGTTTATTTGATGTTCATCATTCGCTTTGTGTTTCGTCTTCTTTTGGATATCCCAAGTGTTGATAGTTGACTAACAACAGCACCACCTAATCAATAAAGAAACAACTCAAGAAATGAAGAAAAACCTTTTCTCGAAAGGCCTACCCTGGTTCATATTATTTTCTTAGAGTAGCCTTGTGAAATAAACATAGTGTTCATCACGACATAAGCGATTACTGAAATGTTTAATGAAAATTAGTTAATTTTATTTTATACAACAGCGGTCAAGATCCCATGGTTCAGTCATCTTCATACAGCTGCTAGTTTAGAATTTACTTAACCTAAAGAGGTAGTTAAAACTGTTCAGATCAGAAGACTTTTGTCAGCAATCATGAGTTGTGTCATCTAAGAAGCCTTCGTAAACCCAAGAGATTAATTTTTTATTTATTATTATTATTATTAAAATTTTTCATTATTAGTTTTTTTCATTTAATTTTTTAATTTTTTTAATTAAACCTATTTATATGATTTTTTAAGACAAACATCAAGGTTTAATATTATTAGAGCTTATAAGATCCCATAAATCACCATGGAAAGTGAATATGATTCTTATAAATTCAATTTTTACATTTCATGGAGATTTTGGTTATTTTATTAATTTTTATGAATTATTTTGTTGAATATTTTTGATTTTTAGGGTTTAGATATTTTGACTTCAATGATTTCAAAATGATGTAAAAGTAGCTTTTATGGAATCATATTAAGTTGAAAAGCTTTATGTTAAAATTTTGTGAATTTTTGCATACTATTTGATTTACTAGATTACTTTAATTTTGAAGGTTATTTTGTTAAACAATTCATAATAAATCAGAATGATCTTCAAAACATTTAAAATTTTACTAAATTGTTTGGAATATGATTCCAAACAACTTCAAACTTTTCTAAGTAATTTCAAGGTCATTTTAGATTTCTCATGAATTGTTGAACTTATTAATAGATTTATTAATAGAAAAAAATTAAAAAACATTAATAAATCAAAATGAATTCTGTATTCTTTAATTTTTTTTCAATTCAATTAGACTATGAGTGGAGACTTCATTCATTTTGGAGTTTTATAAAGAAAGATATTCAATTTTTACTATGAAGCGTATATTTGTAAATACCTTATTTATACTTCAACCAATTCTACCTTGGTTGGAAATATTTTGTAAAGGTTTATCTTCAGTTGTTTAACAATTTAATTTAGTTAGTTGAGTTTCATTACTTATATTTCTTTCATTAAGTTAGTGAAAACGTAATTGAGGTATTTTTGTATATTCAAAGAAACTTAGAAATCTACCTGAAAACGAACTTTAAATTTATATATTTTTTGCATTATTTAGTAATTTTTTGTTTCATTTAAGAGTTTGATTTTTAATTTTAATGATTTTAAAAAATATATAGTTCATTTTCAAGTTCATAAAGTAATAAAAGTAACATTGTAATTTTTAAGAAAATTACAAAACTATCCTAAATTATTTTCGCAACTACCAAAATTTGTTATATATCTACTAATGAATTCTTCACTTTTTTCATTCAAGCCAATTCTTAAATTTGAACAAATTTATTTAATTGACATAAAATTCTAGCTTAGGGTAAATTTGTAATTTTACTAATTTGATTAATTTTAAAATAAATTGTTATGGAAATTCAATCAAATTGTAGTGGGGGGCTTCAATCAATAATTCAAGTGACTCCAAACAATATTGCCCACCAATTAATCATCCATGCACTTCAAAGTTTCAAATTCTTAACAATTTGCTAATTACAATTATAACCTTTTGCATGTTTTATTTATTTGATTAAAGTTCTAACTAATCCATTATGTTTCATTCATCCCGACAATGGTTCATCATAATTATCTATCCCCTAATATAATTCAAATTTAATTAAAAGAAGTATTAAACTGTAATGTAATATTTACCGTTTTTCTTTTCTCAAGCAAATTTAATAAACCATCAAACAACACTCAAAGTTATGGGCTAATTGAATAAAATGATCACCCAAAGGCAAATTAATGTTTCAGAAGTTATTATGCAATTTTTTAAGATATCTTGTAATTTTTAGAATTATTTATTTCAATAAATGAAATATCACAAAGAAATTTCATTTAACCAATATATCTTTTCTGTTTGGGAGAAAATTACAAAAATATCAAATGGTCAAGAGGTTCAATCAGATGTAATCTCATTTTATTTTAATTTATATTTGAATTTTCTGAATTATAGTCGCTTTAATGATTTAAAAATTATTTAAAATTTATGTGATGTTATTATATTTTGATTTTATTTTTATTAAATTCTCATAGTTTTTAAGATTCCAATACATTTTCTTTTGTATTTTATCCTTTTTTTAATTTCCTATGATTTTTTAAAGCTCAGTTAGATTAAAAGGATTTTATTAATTTTTAATAATGAAAGAATTTCTTATTTAATAAGTGCTGCACCATATGCCTCGTCATCTGCTGCGTTGGCATACTTTCCCCATGTGTCTAGTTTTGATTCGTCTGTTAATCAATTTCACGGCCACGTCACCTCCGTGTTAGGGGTTCCATCCCGATCTTGTGCACGACCAAACAACGCCACATCTTTTTGTGCCAATCCAAGTCGTTCATTTATTATTTTAATAAACAGACGATATCGATTCATCGTTCGTGAAGAGGAAATAACCGAGCACCGTTCGTGGTAAATCACATTGATCTCTTGCTGACCTCATTTTTGGTTGAGGTCTAGCCTCTTCCTTAGAAGTCTAACATCTAGCCATAAGACTGTCTTGTTGGTTATTCCTAGAGAACTAGCGATGGAAACCTCACCATTAGAAATTCTAAAGACTCTTATTTTCTTATCTTGAAGTTGCACATGTTGGTTCTAACCTCTATCACTTACTAGGTGAAGCCAATATGGGGGAGCTCAGGAGGACTCCCCATAGGATTGTTTCACCTTAAGATTAGCCCTAGATGGTATGGCTTTGATCAATCTTGCACACACACACATTTAAACCCCTCACCCCCACTTACAACCTCAACCCTAACCAAACATGCCTAGCATGAACCCTTACCCTTTTGGAAACTCATGTAAATGTTCCCCTAAACCCTTTGCCCTAGGCTAGGGGCTACGGTTTGGCTACGACCAATACATGGAGGATCCATAGTGGGAGCTCCCTTGGTCTCATGGCTCAAAAAGAGGTAATTTTATGATTAACATCCTCAATTGATCTCATCCTACCCAAAAACCCAATTTTGGTAAATTGCTAAAATTTCCAAAATACCCCTAACTTTCCCAAAATTAACAAAGTACCCCTCTTGACCCAAAAATTCTCAAAACCTCTAAAATCATTCCAAACACTCCCAGGACTAATCCCAGTCATCCATTGGATCCAATTTGACCAATTGTGACCAAAATCAAAATTTTTCTCTTTATAATTCAAATACCCCAACTCACCCCCAACTTCCACCAAATTGATTTCAAAATTTCTCACTTTCAGATCTAAACTCAATTTTTTCATATCTACATCAAATTTGAACAAAATGTAAGCCCAGTTTCAAACCCAAATACCAAGCCCAATTTTGGCCCCCCAAATTGAACTTAAACTAAAATCCCATCAAACCTATCCAATTTCCCAAATTCACTTTCTAAACTCTTCATAATATCCCT